AATTTCAAGCATGAAAAAGATAAGAAAATGAAAAGTAGAAGCTTAATGGATGGGTTAAACAGCTAGATGGACATTGTTAAAGGAAAGAAATTAGTAAACTGGACAATAGACCCAAAGAAATTATTTAAAATGAGCCCAGGAAGATAAAGAAAAAAATCCTTTTTTAAAAAAAAGTTGAGAGGCATGTGGAATTGAAGGAGAGTGTCTAATACCTTAGAATTCCAAATGGAGACAATAAAAAGAGATTAGACAAAAGTAATATTTAAATAGATAATCACTGAAAATATGTTCAAACTGGTGAAAGACCAATCCTCAGATTCACAAAATCAGTCTATTCAAAAGCCAGATAAATACAAACATATTCACACTCGACATGTCATAGTGAAACTACAGCCAAAGACAAGATCTTGTAGCACTTAGAAAAAATAGATACCTAAAGAATGATGGTAGAGTAACAGTTGACTTTTCAAAGGCAATAGTAGAATCTAGAAAACTATAAAAACATTTTTTAAATATGCTAAGAGAAGATAATTATTAACATATATGTATACTTATTAAAATACCTCTTATAAATGAATGTAAAAAAGAAAGTCATTTCCTTTTCAAAAAACTTTTTTATTGTTCAGTTACAGTTGTCCCCACTTTCCCCATTGCTCTCCCCTGCCCTGTTCACCCCACCTCCCAATGTAAGACACTAATAGGTGAATAAAATTATAAAGGATATACTTCGGATGTAAGGAAAATGGTCCCAGAAAGTAAGCAGATAAAAGAATACTAAGCTCACACAAGTAGTACTTACATGTTTAACTCAAAAGAAATATTGATGGTGTGTAGCACAATAGCAATGTCTTGTGGGGTTATAAAAAATTAAAACTGCAATGCATGATGAAAATTGCAAATAACGTGGGAGGGGTGAATATAATTAAGGTGTTCTAAAATGCTTATGTTGTTTATGAAGATAGGATGCTAGTCAACTTTAAATTTTAATAAGCATGCTAAAATTTATAGAGAAGCCATAAAAATCATAGATATAGAAAGTCTTAACTTTCAAAATAATAGGAAAAATTAGATATGAAAATGATAAGAAAGAGAGAAATAGAACATATGGTACAAAGAAAAACATAAGATGGTTGAAATAAATCTAAATATGTCAGTTAATGCACTAAATTTGCATGTAGTAAATTAAAAGATATTTTTAGACTAAATTTTTTAAATTATAAGCTATTTATGAGAAACATATCTGAAATATAATACAGAAAAGTTCAAATCTAAATGGATGGAAGGAGTCATAACCGGCAAATGCCAGTCAAAAGGAAGTTGCTGCCCTACCTGGGGTACCTCAGTGGATTGAGCACGTGAACCAGAGGGTCGCCTGTTGATTCCTGGTCAGGTTGCAGGCCAGGTCTTCAGCAGGGGGCATGCAAGAGGCGATTACACATTCATTTTTCTCTCCCTCTCTTTCTCTTTCCCTTGCCCTCTCTCTAAAAATAAATAAATAAAATCTTTTTAAAAAGCTGCTATAGTTATATTAACATTAAAAAATACCATTACAGCATGCTTTAGTATAAAAAAGGAGATTTTTATAATGTGCTAATATGTGCAATTCATCAGGAATATATGATTATAAGCTTTTATATACCTAATGCTACAACTTTAACTTCTATAAACTAAAAATTAACAGAATTATAAGATATCGATAGTTCCACTGACATAGTAGAGGATTGTAATAAATTTTTCTAAGTGATTGAAAGACCAACACAATTAATGTTTGAATCAAATGGGCATATATAGAACATTTCATCTAACAACAATAAGATTCAACAAATTTCAAGGGATTAACATCATGTAAATTATGTCCTTTGACCACAATAGAATTAAATTAGGAAACCATAACCAAAAATTATAGATGAAGCAATATTTTGAAAATTGTTAAACACTTCTTAATAACTCATATATCAAAGAAGAAATTACATTGGAAATTTGAAAATATTTTGAAATGAATAAAAATACATATACTATATATTACATTATATGAAATGCAGTTAAAATAGTATTTAAGAGAAATTGTGTAGCATCATATTCTTGTGTAAGAAAGAAAAGCTGAAAGTCAATGAGCTAAATATATAATTAGAAAAGACTCAAAATAAAACTAGACAGAAATAATAAAAGATAACAGAAATTAATGAAATAGAAATATGTATTAAAAAGAACTAATAAAGCCAAAGCTTGGTTCTTTAAAAGACTAATAAAATTGACTAACTTTCAGTAGGACAGAGAGAAGGAGAGAGAGAGACCAATAAACAACAGTATGAAGAAATTTATAGAAAAAGATAGCCTATGAAACTGACACAGGAAGAAATAAAAAACCAAAATTGTCCTATAACCATGAAAGAAGTTGAATCAGTAGTTAAAAATATTCTCATAAATAAAAGAACTTTCTCACAAATAAAAAAACTGACCATTTTTTTTACCATCAAGTACTGCTTAACTTTCAAAAAACAAAATATTTCAAACTTATGCAAATTATTTGGATATAGACTGCAGAACAGATACTAAGTGACCAAAAGCACAGCAGCCTGGGTCTCTTTCTTCTAGGACCAAACATCCAGGCAGATCCCCAGGTTTATAGCACAATTCTTGATCTTAATAATAGTCTTAAGTCATTAAGAAAACTTTAAACTGTATTCTTTGTACTCTGTTCAATATGACAAAAGATGCATATACATATCTAAAGATTTCTTTGGGAAATGTCAAATGTGTTCAACTTGAGATATTGAAAGAGGCAACTCCTTAGTTATGTGGAACTGACACAGGAAAACTGATCTGGACACCTAGGCTGTTTATTATTCCTTGGAATTAAATTCTTTAATACGAATAACAGCTATCTCCACTTTTCTGGAATGCAAACCATAGAAGGAGGAGGGGAAGGAAAAGCATGCCATCTCAACTCAGCCTGTGGCCTACCCATGGTGTCCAGATTAGGCAGTTGAATGAAAGAGGCCCACTGCTCCCTATCTCACATGAGCTGTGGGTGGCTCTTGACTGCATTGAGCTCTTTGAAATGTATCACACAGAAGGGAGTCTACCAGACAGGACTCTGTTGGACCCTCATTTAGGCATATCTGCAAGTCACTGACTCTTTGGATATCTGTGCTTTACTTATTTTGGGGTTTCTTACTGGCATTTTAGAGTCTCTATCTTTCAACATTTATTATCATCTGTGTCTTTAGAATATGGTCTGCTATTATAATGCCTCTTAAACAGCATTTTTACCCCTGAGGCTGACTGACCTTTTATTATCTATGCTAACATTAGACAATTACCTTTATTCTGGCTCATCCAAATTATCCTAGTGCCAACCTCACATCTTGTAACTGTTCTTGCTTAGCCTCATCAGAAGTCTGACTGGGTGTAGGATAGCTCCCTGTGAATGAATCAGCCTTTTCCCTCTATGCAGCTGAGCAACATCTACAATAGGAGGAAGTCTAGCCAACTTGCACCATGTTTTAGCCTTGGGGTCACCAAGGGATTGTTAAAGGTTCTCCTTACCTGGTTATCTTTATGTAAAAGCTTAATGAAGCAGAAATTTGCATTTGAGATTTCTCAGTACTTCAGTGACTTTGTTTTAAATCCATGACATCTTTCTATTGTCCTAGTCTACCAGTTATCATCCTCTTTTGAAAATCTTTACCAGCCACAGAGAACTGAGGATCTCTGCATGCCCTGGGAAAATGCCAGTGGCTTTTCCACAGGGCATGAGGGATGAAGGCAGCAAAGAAGGTATGGACACAGTGGGAGTAGGCTTTGCAAACTGCATAGTCACCAGTTATCAAACCATCTTAGTCCCTGGCCAAAAGTTAATTAATTCTCATACTATATTATCTTGATATTATAATCATTATTTTAACAATAAAGATAGTAAGAAATCAATTTAACCACTTTGTGGACTATAAAATGATCTATCTATACCATACAAAACATATGATCAGATCTATTATACATGTAGGTATATATGTTGTATAAATATATTACCATACAGTTCATGTAGTGCTTTATTTTTTAAAGTATTTTTTATTTATATTATTGTAGTCCTACTGAACTTTTTATTTAGATAACACTCAGAAATCTGTATCGTAAGCAAAGAAAATTGACTCAAGCTAACTGAAAGAGAAAAGGAGATGTGTTGGAAAGTCATTGGATATCTCAAGTAATTAACAAGTCTAGAGAAGCTGATTCAAGAAACAAGCAGAAACAAAGAAAGACTTGATAGCAGAAATCATAGGCAAAGTCAAGTGGTAAGAATGGCCTCTTTTGAGTAATATCCTGACCGCTTTGCCATGACTAGATGTCCTATAGCGGGATAGTGGGCACTGTTGCTTGGGTATCAGTGACAGTCACCAAGATGCAAAGTTCTGAGTGAGAGCAGTGTTGACTAAATTTAGGTGATACTCTCATGCTTTAGCTTCCAGGTAACAGGGCTGTGCCTCCTTTCAGTGTCCAAAGGCCCAAGAATTACACATTACATGGTCCCTAATATAGGAAGGGGACTTAAACTTGGTCCTCTACATGTAACCAAGTAATATATGGTCTAGGCTAGTGGTCCCCAACCTTTTTGGCACCAGAGACCAGTTTTATGGAAGACAATTTTTTCATGGACAGGAGGGATGGTTTCAGGATGATTCAGTCATGTTCCATTCAAGGTCACCTCCTGCTGTGTAGCCCAGTTCCTAATAGGCTCCAACTAGTGCCAGTCCATGGCCTGGAGGTTGGGAACTCTGGGTCTAGACTTGTATGCTCAATATTCCGGGTATTTTTTCATAAATAGGATTTTAAAAAATCCCTCTGTATCATGGACAATTTCAAACATATGCAAAAAATAAAGAGAATAGCATTGTGTAATAAATCCCCTTGCATCTATCACACAGTTTTAACATTGTCAACTCATGGCCATTTGGTTGTAATCTCCACCCCTATCCAATCCTCTCCCAACTCCAGTTATTTGGAAACAAGTCCTAGCCATTATATTATGGAAAAGCATTTCAGTGTGCACCTGAAATGGATGGCCTTCTGCTCCGTGACGTACAGTCCCTTTCCACAGTTTCGGAGAGAAAGCCATGTCTGGAGTTTGCACCTGCATATCCCTGAAGCTTCTCAGAGTCCTGTGGACACCCACCGAGGAGACAAACCATGCAGGAAACATCTAGGGTAACAAAAAAAATAAAAATAAAATAAAATAAAATAGATAAGGCCTTTAAAAAAGCCATCACCACAATACTATTTTCAGTCCTAAAAGTGTCGAATTCCTTAATACCATCAAGCACTCAGTATTCATCATTTCCTAATTCTCTCCTAATGTTTTTGTTAGATAATTTGTTTGCTTGAGTCAAGATCCAGTTGGTTAATAAATCTTTTCAAGTGTTTATTAATCTACTGTATTTCTCCTCCTTGTGTTTTGTTCCCCCTTGTAATTTATTTTTAAAGAGATCGGGCCATTTGTCCTGTGAAGACTCCCACAGTCTAGAGTTTCCTGATTGCATTCCCCCAATGTCATTTAACATGTCTTTATGTTCCATATATTTCTTCCCAATGGGTAGTTAGACATAAAGATGTAGGTTCAACTTTGTAGCAGGAATTTTCCATGGGCAGGATTTGTGTACTTCCATCACGTAGTGCGTAAGGTCTAGCTGCCTACCCGTGTGTGATGCTGGCAGTCATTGCTGGCTATTGACTAGATCCCCTGACTCATCAGGGGTTGCCAAATGATAACATGTTCATTTTATTTCTCTTTCCTTATTTATTAGCTGGAATAACTTTTATAAAGAGACATTCACAATCATTCTATTCTTTGGTTGCTCGGGAGTACACCAAAGTTTATTTGGAAGCATCAGACTAAATAAGTCTATAACAGCTTTCAAAATAGTGAATAGATTCTCTACCACCTTCCAAAGGGAAACATTTCCTTTTTAGTATTTTTAGTATTATTATGAGTTTATATATGTGATATATTTTAATTCATCACATTTAATATCCTTATTGTTTTACAAATTCTCACCTTTGGCCATTGAGATCTATTAATATAAGTTCTTGAGTCCCTTTGCCTCTTTTTAAAAAATTAAATCATTATTAATTATTATTCTATTATAGTTGTCCCAATTTTCCCCCTTTGCCCTCCTCTGCCCAACCCACCCTCCCTCCCCTGGTCCCTCAGTCAGTTCCCATACTATTTTGTCCATGTCCGTGGGTCCTTTGCCTCTTCAATGGCTTTCATGCGTTCAGAGATGTTCCAGGCTCATCTCTGTATTTCCTGCTCCAGAATCGTAATCATCCATTTCCCTAAGGAGTCCAGCTTTCCTTTTTAAAATCATTTATTTATTTATTTATTTATTTATTTATTTATTTATTTATTTATTTATATTGTTGTTCAGTTACAATTGTCCCCATTTTCCTCTATTGCTCTCCCCTGCTCCCAAAGACAGTTGCCACCCCATTGTCCTTGTCCTTAGATATCCTTGTACATGTTCCTTGAGCCCAGCTTTCTTTCAGTGAGCAGTGGTATTTAAAACCTCAGCCTTGGTCACTAGGGGTGCCTTTTACTGCTGGGTTGGTCCATGTTCATAGGTTTTTTCAGTACTCAGAAGTAGAAATTATTATCTTTGTAGAAGTAAAATACCCCAGGCATTCATGATAAACTATTTCAAATTTAGGACTACTGGGTTTTTACTTAACCTTATCAATCTTAAATCTATTTCCTTTCTCCCATGCCAAATATTCTGGTTTTAATGACCCAACATAATTACTTGTTTATTTGATTCCTCACTGTGCACACAACTGTCTCAGAATACTAATAACAACACTACCTTTAACAATATGATTACTGGAAACAGTTTAATATTTTTTGCATTTCTCTTTGTCTTTAGGTTATATTCCACGAGGGATGTACTGTCAAATTACCATGATTTAAAGTCGTCTACAATAGTTCCTCTCTCTGTGATATACTACCAATCTAATAAAAAGCCCATTTGAGTCATTTGACTTTTGAGTTTTAGGAATAGATTTTTTCATATTTAATTCTTTATAATTACTAAATGAATAATTTCAAAGTGAAATATATAAAAGAAAGTATGTTCAGAAAAATCGACCTTCTACCACTGCCCTCTTCATATTATTTCCTCACTACCTCTAAAAAGTTTTGTTTTGTTTGTTTGTTTTGTTTTACTTTATACTTTAAAAGCTACAGTCGTGTACAGCACAATGATGTTTTGGTCAATGATGGGTGACATATATGATGGTGGTCACATAAGCTTATGACGCAGCTGAAAAGTTCCCATCACCTAGTGACAGAGTGGCCATAGTGTCCTAGCACAATGCATTACTCACGTGTTTGTGGTGATGCCGGTATAAACAACCCTGCTGCACCGCCAGTCACACAAAAGCATAGCACATAGAATGACGCATAGTATATAATACTTGATAGTGATAATAATAAACAACTTTGTTACTGGTTTACGTATTTGCTATCCTATACTTTTTATCTTGATCTCAGAGTATGGGCTTTCTACCTATAAAAAAGTTTGTTGTAAAACAGTATGCCATGTTACTCTGGCAGCAGTCTCATATCATGTCTCGTGCTTACTGTGTCTCTTGCTTGATTTAATCTTGTGTTTCGTGCATGAACGTGTTATAGCCTAGGAGCAGTGGGCTATGCCGTGCAGCCTAGGTGGGTGGCAGGCGGTGCCATCAGATCCGTGTGCGTGCACTCTGTGATGTCTGCACACAACAATGAGATTGTCTCATGACAGATTTCTCAGAGCCTAGCCCCTTGTTAAGCGGCACGTGACTGTATGAGGAGCTATGTGTATATATTCACATAGCTTTCTTAGATCAGTGGTAGTGTGCTATGCTCACATTTCACTACCTTGTTTTTTCCATGATATATATTTTTCTGAATATCATCTTATAATAGCATATAGCAGCAATTTTCAATCTTTTTCATCTCATGCCACACATAAACTAATTAATAAAATTTTGCAGCACACCAAAAAATATATTACATTTGTTGCTGATTTCACAAAAAATAGGTATAATTTTGATTCATTCATACCAGATGGCTCTTGTTGTGTTAGCTATTGTCATTTTTTTATTTGATAATCTAAGGGAAAAGAGGTGAGTGCCTCTAACTAAATAGTCAGGTATTAAATGTTTTAAAAATTCTTGCGGCAGGCCCGTTGAAGATTGTTGATGTGTAGAGATGTTTCTCATTACTTGTTTTTTTAAGAGAAGTTTTAAAATTTTATTTATTTTTACAGAAAGAAGAAGGGAGGGAGAGAAACATTAATGTCTAAAAGATAATTTGCCTCTCATATGCCCCACCTGGGCACCTGGCCCACAACCCAGGCATGTGCCCTGACCTGAAATTGAACTTGTGACTTTCTGGTTCACAGGACAATGCCCAACCCACTGAGCCACACAGTCAAGGCTCATTGCTTTTAGTTACAGCAGCATAGTACTCCAGTACATGACCATTCCATGGTTTCTTCTCCCAGTTTCCCTTTGAGGGCATACTGCTATAATAGTCTTGTACACATGTTCTTCATATTTTCCTAGGTTATTATTTTAATAGATTCCTAAAAATGGAATTGTGAGGCCAGAAGGCGCATGCATGCATAATTTTGCTAGGCATCATCAAATCTCCAGAGGGGTAGTACTTTTCCCACCAGGAGTGATGAAGGTGGCTGCTTCCTCACAGCCAACCAACAAAGTATGTTGCCGCATATTTGGGTTTTTGCCAATCTGACAGGTGAAAAACAGCCTTCAAAGTGGTTTTAATTTGCATTTTTCTAATGAAGAGCTAGGTTGAGCAGCTTGTCATATGATTAAGGCAATTTGCATTTCTTTTTCCATGAGCTTTTCATTTCTTTGGCCCATTTTTCTTTAGGATTGTTAGTCTTTTGTCTATTTTTAGAATCTCTTTAACATTAGGGATGGAAATTTTTTGCCTATCATATACATTGCAAATATTTTCTTGCAGTTTGTTACTTGTCTTTTGATTTTGCTTCTGGGTATTTTGGTTTTGTTTTTGTCATGCAAAGGTTTTTTTTTTTTTTTAATTTATTTATTTACCTTTAGAGGGGAAGGGAAGGAGAGAGGGAGAGAAACATCAATGTATGGTTGCCCTTTGCGCATGCCCTGCTGGGAACTGGCCTGCAGGGAACCGGCCTGCAACCCAGGCATGTGCCCTGACTGAGAATTGAACTGTGATTGTCTGGTTCACAGGGTTTTTTTTGTTTTTTTTTTTTAAGTAAGAAAATGCATCAGCCTTTCTCCTTCTTGTGTCCAGAATTTTGTCATAGAAAAACTTACCCACTATCAGGTTATAGAAATACTCACCTATGTTTTCTTATAATACTTGTATGATTATAATTTTCACCTTTTAATTTCTGATTCACTCAAATTAATCCTGATGGGCGGTATAAGGAATAGACCCAATGTCTTATTTTTATGTATAGCCATCCAGTTATCTTAACACCTTCTACTTAAAAATAACACCTTTTCCTTACTGGTTTATAATACTGCCTTTATTATACATGAAATCACCATACGTATTTGGATCTGTTTCCAGATTTTCTATTCTGGTTCTACTGACATGTTGGTGTATTCGTGTACTAATATCACACAATTTCAGTTATGTAGGCTTTATGTTATGTTTGTAAGTCTGAGCTTATAAATGTTTGTAAGTTATGTTATATTTGTAAGTCGGAATCTGGCTTGCCCATCGTGTATCATGGAGATCTTGAATCTAAAGGAGAAGGTCAGCGAGAGACACAAATGTCATCTTTCTTTCTTCTTTCCCGGTTAGGCTATAAAAACTTGATTTCAGGATTTATGTATACTTAATTTTCATACTGACACTTAGAATATAATATGTACTCAATTAGCAGGTTTTAAATTTGAAGGCCAGTCAAATATAAGAGAATATATTCTATATATCTTATAAGGTCACAGCTTGAATAGAAGAGTGGAAGCTGTAATAGATGTAGTTATCGATTCAGTATAAGAAACAGATATTAGAACCTTTTAAAAGAGAAAGGAATGCCTTTTGGGATAATTGGATATATTTAAGGCATGGCCTCCTCTTTGTGTTACTAGAAAGATAGATGAGATTTATGGTCATAATACTAAGAGTTAATAGTAATATAGCAGTA